GATGTGTTTCTACAAAACCGTATACCATCGGCCTCTCCTCCCTTAGCTGTTCTTCTATCTCTTTCCACTTCAGCCTGTTCCTGCCACCCTGCGTATTAATATACCCTATGTCTGAATTGGCTCGGTGCTCGTGGCTACGTCGATTTCTGCCCCAGACTCTATCTTTCTCAGATACTGGTGCCACTTTGGAATCGTATCTGTCTATACCCCCTGTCACAGAGTCTCCCTGGTTTTTTTCCTCATTACTAGATATCCTGCACCCCGAAGGGCTCGCTTGCCCCCAAAAAAGCTACTGCGCGTTCTGTAAGTCACCAACCCACCTCATGATCTAGCCGCCCATCGAAGAGAATTCTGTCTCGTTGAAAACCACCCCACCTATGCACCTCTCTGTTTATTTCCACCACCTCAAAGCCTTTCTCTCAACTCATCCACTACATCTTGGTTTGCGTTACCAACCGCGCTTTGCAGGTTGTTCTCATGCACCGGTACGTCCGGTATAGTGCATATCACTACCTGTACCTGAAGAGAAGTGGCGCGCAGGTCATCGACCCCTTTTGCCAGTGTGGTTGCTAATCCTGCTGTATCTTCATTTAAGACATCGTTTAAACTGCCTGAACATCGTTTAAACCGCTTGCAGTACTCGTTAAGACATCGTTTAAACCACTCGCAGTACTCAAACAAATGTGAAGGATTTGTTTGAGTATTGCAAGCGCTTTTGGTATCTATCTATCTATCTATCTATCTATCTCTCTATCTATCTATCTATCTATCTATCTATCTATTTATCTATCTATCTATTTATCTATCTATCTATCTATCTATCTATCTATCTATTTATCTATCTATCTATTTATCTATCTATCTATCTATCTATCTTTCTATCTATCTTTCTATCTATCTATCTATCTATCTTTCTATCTATCTTTCTATCTATCTATCTATCTATCTATCTATCTATCTATCTAAATATCTATATATCTATCTGCGCCAGCCACAGGCACTTGCATTCCCTTTGGTGATATAGCGTGGCTTGGAAGGCAGCTGAACCATCGGCACGCAGTTGCTGCCGGCACTCGGCATCCCTCGCTCGTTCTTTTACTTAGACTGCAGCATCGGCCTGGTTATTACGACCTCTCTCACGTTCCCGCTGTCGGAACTCTTATAGAGTTTTTCATGGCTTGCAAATGTGAAAGGTTGCTGTAGAAACTTATGAGCGCGTGCTCCGCGCCACGGCTGCGATGGGATGGACGACGTCACTCACAGCGCTGCTAATGGCAAGCGTGCTTTGGTGCAACGCTGAGAACGACATAACTGATCACACAGCCACTGTAGACTGCTCGTGACACCACTGCCGAATGGTTTTTTCGTTCTTCTAGCTATATGCAGCTATCACTGTAAAAGTTTGCACCTCTGTCTCCTTGGGAAACGACAAAACGCCTTGGTTCTCAATTGACTGATCTATTGAAGCAATTGCTGTAGCTCGCGTGAACACGCCTTATTCTTTCAACATTATCTTTTACTCCATGCTCACTGCTTGCGAAGCGGGATGGTGCAACCCTTTGTGAGTGCTCAAGAAAAGTAATGCGGAATGACGCAGTTAAATTATAGCATCCGAGATTGCACTCCGGCACGCCATCTTGGAGGCTATGGCTAAAGCTTCTCGATATCAATGAAAACATTTGACCGAGCGAGTATCAGATAGTCACCGATGCAGTTATCTTGTGTGTCTTTGATTTCTTTTCAGCGCGTGGCAGCTTGTCGAAATAGCCCAGCACCAGTAATTTCATCGCTGAATACTTCGAGTGTGACAGCACTACATTATTGAAAAAAACGTCCACCGTAGGAATAGGGGATTCCACCAACCACCTTTTTGGTGGATAATGGCGGTGAAAATGTTGGTGGCACATGGTAGATAGATATGTGGGTTTTAACGTCCCAAAACCACCATATGATTATGAGAGACGCCGTAGTGGAGGGCTCCGGAAATTTCGACCACCTGGGGTTCTTTAACGTGCATCCAAATCTGAGCACATGGGCCTACAACATTTCCGCCTCCATCGGAAATGCAGCCGCCGCAGCCGGGATTTGAACCCGCGAACTTGGTGGCACATGGTGTATAGTGGCGTATGGTGGAGCGGATGGTGGATGGCGCGCTTCAGCCGGCAATTGTGGAGCGCGAAGCAGCGTCAGAACCACCATGACGAGCTGCCACTTAAGATAGATTAAAAATTATTCTATAAAAAGAATGTAGCAAGCAACCGTAAAAAAAAAGGTGCGCCAGCGTGGGATCGAATCTGCCACCTCCAAATTTAGAACTGAGCACACTAACCACTGCGCCACGCTCACAAATGGCGTCATGGCTGTTAAAGATGTATCGGACTCTCAAAGTCACTGTTTAACTTCAGTGTTGTTTGTCGTTTACTCGGGAGGGACGGGATGTGCACCTGCTTTTAAACTGCACATTTGATAAACACGAACAACTGCTGCCTCTAACGATTGCCACAGCAATAATGGCAACGGCGCTATGTTTTTGTTGCAATTTACAACCGCACGAAAAAAAAAACACTCAGTGGACTGAGGAGCAGGTTGAGTTTATCGGCGGTTACTGGCAAGTTAATTATTCGTTTCTCGCTCCTTCCAAAGGGCGATATCAGATCAGGCTTTATTACGCTTCTATGCTGATTCGATAGATACGTCCGCACAATTGAGTGTGATGTTTTTCGCGCAACGCACACCGCAGTCGTGCCAGCTCACCGCTGTTCCTTTGTCGTTCAGGACAGCTACATAACGGCTTGGCCAAAACGAATGCAGTTCGCCAGAAACACTATGCTATCATATTGGTTCAGTAAGCATACGAATTGACGAGTCTGTGTTCTCGCATAAGAGCCAGTGAAGTTCCGGCGAGTGCGACTGGCGGCTGTCGGTGAGGGGAGGCGTACCTTTGGTGGAAGTCCTGCAAGCGCGTCACATCGATGTTTGTCGCTTCTTGCGCGGACACCGTACACAATAAAAACTGCTTCATTTATGTTAAATGATGCTGCAGCTGTGCTGTATTGTCATTCTTACTCGTCAAAATTGTGTATTCTGAAACCCAGAAGCGCTGTTAGCACTTGTACGGGCTTGGTCAGTATGACTAACCTTTGGTGGAAATCATGGTGGTAGAACAGAAAAGTGAAAGTCAAATTCGCTGGGGCTCATCTCGACGCATGTCGAAAGTTGAAAGTTTATGCGTATTCGCATGCACTTTGTTAACTTAAAGCTACGGCCTAAATAATAGAGTGAGCAAGAATTACCAGAGTTGCGTTTCTAGCGTGGCGACATCAAGTAACCGCGCTGTGTTCTGCTCTAACATTGAATGGCGCAATTGCAAACTGGAGCCCATTTATTTGTCAACAACGGCGCGCTGATGAAAAACATTTATTGTCATGTTCACAGTGACAACTCCAGTCTTCTAAACATCCCAAGAGAAGAACACATCGCGGATGTCAAACTTATGTAAGTACGTGCGCGAAATGTAAACATATTCCCGGCCGCATACTCTATGCTCCACAAAAACTGAAGCGTTGTTGACACCACAGGAATTAAAAAACCGTACTAAAAAGTGTAATGAGCGGCGTTGGCTCCTTTTGACCGTAAACGTATATCTCTGTGCATTCAAGAATTATACACTAGATATAAATAATTTCACATACTGTAATGTGCTTTCCATCATGCCACCGCCCACCACCAAGCTTCCGTCATGCATGCCACCGTCCTCCACTTTGCTCACCAAGCCTTCCACCAAACATGTTTTGCCTCGCCACCATGAGCCGGCATTTTCCACCGTCACCACCACTGGCTCGCCACCATCACCACCATAACTGCCATCATTTTTTCCACTCTTGCCGTCATCAGCCATTATGCCCACTACAGGTTCCACCATATCCACTAATTTTTCCACCATACACACTAATATTTCCACTTATCCACCAACGATTCCAGCATCCACCAACCCAGGATTTTCAATAGGGCAGCTTGTTTAATGAAACTGTTGCAGTAAGCACTGCAGCAGGGCAATGACGTCGATGAGATAATGTTGTGCCTTAAAACTAACCCCTGCAGGATGTGGAACGCCGGCACGCGTTGGCAGCTCAAACTACGAACCTCTGCGTCTCGTGTTGCTGAAGCGCAGTATGCGTGAGCGCTGGTGTAGGTTTCAGGAGAGCACACCTGCTGTTCCTGTGTATGGCTGACTACCTTGCAAGACGCTCATATTGAGTAGCTGAGTTTAGTGCTTGCTTCTTGATGTTCAGGTATATGTTAAAACCATGAGCTACCAAAGCAGATCAATCATGATAGCGGGTAGAATTCGTCGAGGTGAAGACGTGCGATTAGGCGCCAACGTGGCTGTGTCCGCCTCAAACGGTGCTATATATGCGAAACGCAAATAAATTTTGTACAAGCTCTCGTGTGTAACTACACAATGAGCAATACGTCTTTGGAGACACGTTTCACTTGAGTTGTCTGCCGATTTGTATGACAGGGGTGTCAGCCATGTTGTATTTATTTCTTTTCGCGCTGTTCAAAACAAATCAATGCAGTTTTCTCAACCTGTCTAATGCGGCAAACTTGGGAATGATCACACATGTTCTATAGCTTGTACAACAACCTACGAAACACCGCGAAAAGGGTAAATTTTGCATATCGGTAAACTGTTGCACAATTCGAGTGAACCGCTATTTCGGTTTTCAGCTACTGGTTTATTCTGTATGTGCATGTTGCCCTTGGCAATGTTCTTGCATACCTATACGTTTACTTTATTAGTGAATGGTTTGAGCAGGATTGTAGTGTTTAGTTCGACTTGTATAGAATCAGGCGAAACAAAAGCTAATATTTTGAACTGAATTGCTATACAAAACGTGCTAAGAACATGCGTCTTCGCAGAAAAAGTTTTCAGACTCGTTATAAATTCATATAAAAAATAGCAGGCTGGTGATAATGTGACCTGTCCTGCTCCTTACCATGACATTTGAGCGATATCGTAGTCGCAGCAAGAAGAAAATCTCATGCTTTCGCTGCCTTTTTCCACATAGCTCATTAGGTTACCACGTTCCCAAGGACATCTCAAAGCGTCAGGCGTAAACGTCCTGGTATTTCCTGGTGCCCTCGTGCCATCGTGCGTGCATCCCAACCTGAATTTCCCGAAAGGTAAAGAAACAATAAGGTTACAGAAAACCTGATTCAAATAAATAAGGTCAACAACAGTTCAGTACACTTCACTTCACTTTACTACCTAAAGATTCTACTTAGAGGGTGTTATATAAGGGGCGGTTTTACCAATGAAAGTTGAAAGATGATGTTCATGACAAACAGTACAGAGTAGTATATGCGGTGCGTTTCTGGGTGACAAATGTACCAGTGATGTAAATACTGTGGCATCCACTCAACGCTAGTTCTAGTCGAAAGACCAGTTTAAAAAGAAATAAAGGCACTCAAACGAGTGTTTTTCGGGGCAAACCATGGCACTCAAAAGCAAGTGCCATCATCTGTCGAACATAGACTAACTTTTTTTCATATAATTTTTCTTTATTTCATCATTTCTTTACTTTATTATCTTTCTACATCTCCAACATCTTCTTATTCCTGCTTCTTTCATCAGCCTCCTTCTTTTCTTTTCTTCTATACTAGCTGCTCTTCGCTCGGTACTCCGAACTCTCCAACCTCTCCTGAATTTCATTCATATTTCCCACTCCTAGCTATGTATATGTTTGTGCTATGAGATACCCTTTCAACTTCTAGTCTTCATTCTCTTTTGCCTCATCATCCTAATATCAGTACTACCCCGAAATCTATATCTCATCTCATTTCTAAATTGTGGTATAAAACGGTATGATTATCTTAAACTCTCCTTTAGTTTACCGTTACCCTCGCCACACTTCAAACCTTCCTCACTTCAGTTGGCCGTACCTTTGTATTACTGTACTGAAGATGTCTATGCCATGCTTAGAGCTGATAAGCATTCTTTCAGAGTGCATACCCGCTCAGTTACTTTTTAAATGCGGAAAAGTTAAAGCCGGGTGTTAGTCTTAAGGTGAGGGGAGAAGAAAACTAGCTGGCGGATGTCCGCAACAGTGTTTGCACAAGCTACACTACAGAATGCAAGCATTTATGGGAACCATGCGAATGCGTTGCTAGCGAGAAACAGATGTGGGGGTGAGAATGAGTGTGTGGTGTGAGAGCAAGAAATGAGGAAGGAGGGTGCCAATTTTACACCATCTCCTAGAGATGTCGTGCGTGTTGTTTTGTTATCAGCACCTCGCGAATATGTTTTCCCAGACACTAGCCATAAAAACCTTCACTGAAAATGTTAGTTTCGCTACCACGGTGATTCAATAAATACTACAAAAATAGTTCGAAATTATACAAAGTAAGGCCAGGAGCTAACTTCATTAGGATCCTACATTGTGTTACCGCACCAGAGGCTTTCACATGTGAGCAAGTCTACTCAACGGAACCAAGCGGTTTTTGTGCCATCTGTCGTTTCAACGTAATATTAGTGGTGATAGAACAGCACACAGAAAAGAATGAGCCCACTTCTGAATGCTGCTTAGAAAGTGCTCAATTCAGGTTGTTCAAAGAGTAATGTGAAAACAAAACCCGCAGGTATTTAGCAAACACAAACACTATACAAAAACTGCACGCTGAAGCACCCTCTGTTGTAGCTCAAATGCTACAGCATATGGCGTGCAGTTCGAAGTTTGTGGGTTCGGATAACATTGGCGGGAATGGTGACTTTTCATCGATTCATTTTTGTCCTTTCAAATTGAAATCGTTACAGTAGGGTTAGGAAATCGGAAGTAGCATCTCTTCATCTTTTCTTGTTCTGATTGTCTGTCGATTTATATATTTATTTCGAATCTGTTGCTGTATTGCCCTGCCACTGCCCCCTTACACAAATGAGGCCCATAGTAGCTTAACGCAAACTACTTCTGATAGAAATCGAATGGAAAGAGCGTAAAAAGCTTACGTATGGGCAACTTCGTGCGCCGTAATCCTTATTCCTCGATATGTGTACGCTGTATCTTCACCGAGCTGTTGCCGGTGATCCGAGCAGGCGGAAGCAGCAAATGCGTACCCTGTAACGAACATTTTTTCTCAGTGCGCTGTCTCACAACTGTGAGAGTTGCAATATGCTTTCAGGTGTACTGCAGGATATTACAAGTTTCGGGAGTTTTACGTACCAAAAGCGCAAACTATCAGCGGCTATACCGTATTCGACCACTGCATAAATTCGAAACACCTTTGGTTCTTTATTTATGTACCTAAGTCTAAGTAAACTCGGTTGTGACATTGCTGAATGAGCCTGACTGCGCGCACTGCAGGGAAAGGTCGTTTACACATTGCGCCAATCAACTAAATAATTTTTCTGAGGAGGCAACATTTTAATATAATATGTCCACATAATTTTGCCTACCGCAAGTGCGGTTGCCTTCTCTTGTATTCTAGTGTGTCACTCGTAATTAGCAGTGCTTATCTTTACTATGCGCTACGTGTTCTAAGTCTATTTCTTCATTTAGATTGAGTTGTCCTGAGCAACCCTTTGTGTCTTGACCTACTCTTCTCTGTTCTCGCATTGTAAGGTTACACTTACAAATTTATTTCTTTGTATTGCTGGCTGTGAAATCTTTGATTTATTATAAACACTCTATTCAAGCCTCTACAATCCTGCTCACCTGGTGAGTACCAGTAAAGTGTAGCTATCAATACCTTCCTCTCAAAGGATAAGGATAAACTGCCATTAATGATTTCAGTATGCCCGCGAAGTGTTCTCCACCCCACACTTATTGTTTTAGTTATTTCAGGTTCATAGCTCTGCTGCTCCGTCACTACGTGTCCTAAGTAGACGTATGTATTTACCTCTTGCCATGCCTCTCAACCTATTGCTAAGCGCTGTTCTCATCCGAGACTTTGGAAGCTTACTTCAGTTTTCTGCATGGTAATTTTCAGACGTAATTTTCTGCTTTTCTAGTGCAAATCAGCAACTGATGGTTGGGTTTCTACACCTCAGTAAGGCCAGTTTCTACCCCTCAGTAGTGACGATGCCTCATGGCATGCCGACAGTGAATCGCTGGTTGTTAGGGTTGTCTGCAGTAACTCGTATGCTCAACTGTCTTCAATCATGGGTCGTGAAAGCCTTTAGTGAGCGTGAAGTAGAGACCGTTATGACGATTGTGTCTAGCTGCGTTACACTTTTCTTTCGCGGATTTTTTGAATTTCTTTATGTAGGATGATGATAACTGTGAATCCATTGTAGATTTCTTAAAGTATTAGTGCGTAAGGATCGCCCACTTTATGATTCAGCGTTGTTTGCATGACAGTTGCTATTTAGACCCTAGCCAATGATTTCTCGCCATCTGTAAAAACTTAATAGATGGTTATATTGCGCGCATTTTTTTATCAGCTGATTGATAGGGTCAATATAGTCTATTGTGGAGTAGCCTGTATAAATTCGTGCTTCGTTTTCTGGTTCATTGTATTCTAGAGCAGAGTTATTTCTAATGGCTAATATCTATGTGAATAGCTTGTAAACAACTAATATTAAGATGACAGGACTGCTGTTTTCCTTCCTTTAAAGTCGTCCTTACGACACTGCGCGTACGGCACTGAGCGTTACCTGAGTTGTGAAGTCATAACAGCTTTCGCGGTAAAACGTTCACCCAGAAGATTTGAACCCTCTAGCTCCTCGTTTCCAGTGGAGTTCACTGCGCGCTACACCACGCCAGAACATGCCACGGTTGCTGTACAATGACTATGTTTATCTAACGAACATGCCGTCTGGCTTCATGTGTACAAGTCGCACAGTGAGTTGCAGATAGACGTGATACTTCTTTCCATATAACAATTAGGTCTTTATTCGACAGTAACGAATGGTTGCCGGTCAACGAATGACTAGCGCATATTGACAAGAGCACAAAGTTTTTGAGGAATGCACCCCCATATCAACTCTGAAATATGTCAAATGGGCTGTACAAGCAGCCAAAGACAGCTGGTTGTTACTGCCCCACAAGGAACTGCGCCTTGTCGCCCAAGAGGCAGACAGAAATTAGGTGGCTTATTTCCTCCTTTGAAGAATCACTAAAAAATCTCAGTAGGCGCCAGCATCACAGTGGTCATGCCAGCGCCACAGCCAGTGCGACCCAGCTGCCCCCCAGTGTGCTCACTGAATTTACAGTGAATACCATTTTGCACCAGTGTTAACAACGTGCACCAGTGCCAAAACAACGTAGTGGTATCACGCTTCAGACGCTCATTTTCGCAATAGATTCGGCTACAAAGTAAAATTTTTACACCCAATAGGATGTAATACGAGTGTGAAAAGCTCCCTTATTAGCACTCTTAGTACACTCTTACTTTTTAAAGTTTAACTCTGCAAACACCTCATTTGCACCCTCAACTGAAAGGGTGTTATGAAAAAAGCTTTAAATTCATGCCATTTTTGGCCGCTTTTGCTCATATTTTAATGTCGCATGAACCATCCTGACGCCAGTAAGGTTCTCCTACTTGCCTGCCAGGCTAGCTTGCCACGCGGGGGCTTGGACTCGTTCGTTTCTTAAAAAAAAAGTATTTTATTATTAGTATTACTTGGTTCTTCCTTTTCGGTTAAGAACAAGATTTTTCACTCACAAAAAATTACATTGACGCCGCCACTAGTCTCTCTGCGGAAGGGGGGGGGGGGGGGGTAAACAACAAGAGGGAAGGCAGGGAGGTTAACCAGGCACATGTCCGGTTTGCTACCCTACGCTGGGGGAATAGGAAGGAGGCATAAAGATGAGAGAGAGAGGAAAGAGAACAGAAAGAGAGAGAGAAAAAAAAGAAAAAAAAGGAGGATTGTCAGTCAATCGGCTGGCGCGTATGCAGTGGTGGCACTACACCAAAGTTAAAGGTGGTCACATAGGCCTGTAGTCCTCAAAAAGCACAAGACAGCTTTTACTGCTTTGTGAGCCGACGAAAGGTGATGGCGGTGTTCCAGTAGCATCTGCACAGAGAGTGGCCGATCGTCCAATTGTCGCAATGCGTCCGAAAGCTTCTGTCTTTCAGAGGCAAATCGAGGGCAATGGCATATCTGATGGTCGATGTCTTCTTTGGTGCAGAAGAAACTGTGTGATTCTTTCGCGCTAAAAGTAGACACATTTCGCAAAAGGGTTCAAGCGCACGCTTTTCTTGCGCATTTTTTCAGCTTTTTGTTAATTGATTGATTTCAACACACTTGTTAGAAATTGCGACCTGATTATCTCGGCCAATCTTGGTTTTCAAATTTTAAGAATCAAACTGAGACTGACCTGAAAGGGCATCAACTCTAGTCGATCCTTGTATTGCAACCATGTTCTTTCTGTTGAAAAAAATATCATCTTTTATCATACCATTGAGCAACTTTGCAGTGTGGTTGAACATTTGACGCTAGTCAATAAGCAAAAAAGTAAACCTATAATTTTTTTGTGTCATTCAAATAAAAATATTTTCAGTACACTTGAGGGTCAAGAATTGAACGGGAACTGAGGGTGAAGCATTGTTTTGATTGTTTTGTTATGTTCTTGCCATTCCAATAACCTATATGACAGAGTAGTGCAGCTCCCCAAAATTATTTGGTTGTCGCAATTTCGATAACCTGAACGAGAGCGGCACAGCCCAGTGCTGTACATCACTCAGATTTGACGAGACGAGCCACTCCGATTGTAACACTGCAACTCCAGTCTAATGGTGCCAGTTATAAGACAGAAAAACAATTGCTTTTGTAAATAACCACCTTGAGTTGGGGTTCACTGACACTTTACATAATGGTCTTGCCGATCAGCCACAAAGCGCACCTTCCAAGCATCGCTTGAAATATGATGTGATGCAGTCATTGTAACGCTGACCTTAGGTCTATTAGGGCTACTAAATTCGTGCACAAAAGTTTCGAAATTTTTGCAAACACTTGGTGATTGGGAAAAATTACGTAAAAGAAACAGCATAAAAACTAAAAACGTGGCCACTGAAAGTAAACACAGGAGAAGAGCTAACTTTCAAGTGATACTTTATTGACATGAAAGTGATATATAGATACCTACATAAACAATACAGAAAAACTATAAAGTCAGAGCAAAAAATAAAAAAAAATGGCGAAGGTGGCTTTTAATAAACCAAGGCCTAGTATATTTCATTTACCACGAACCATTGCTTCTTTTATAAACGCGGGCTCTCTCGGGTAAAACTTTTCTAAAACTAAATCTCCTTTCACGTGCACCTGTGACGACGTATTCATTATTTTGAAGTGTTCGCCCTTTGGTTAAAGTGACTTTCGTTAGACTGTCGTCACCTACTTGTAACCTGCTTCATAGGTTCAATGTAGGCTATTCATGTTACGGGAAGCTATTCGGTATTATGCGAAGCGGTGTTGGACGCGCGTGCGCGTTGTGTGAAAATGGGCCATGTGCTAAATTAAATTTTAATGAGACGTGTTTAGCGAAGCCGTGTGTACTACGCGTTCATGTTAGGTCGCAAAGATCCATCAGCGTCAAATATATTATGATAGTACGTCAACTACAGTCACTCAGGGTGATGCTTTTTCAATCCAAATAACCGGTTCCATTCATGGGCTAGGCACCCTATCGCGAACACATGACCAGCACCCGCCATTGCAAGAGCCAGTAACCTTCGCGAGCGTCATCGTTTGTTGATAAAGAAACACAACTAGAAAATAATAATGCTATGCTATATCATGTTTTTTTGATTTTTTGACACTTACCCAGTTACAAAGTACACCAAGTCGTATTTGTTGTAAACATTTTTCTTTTCTTTGAAGAACTCCACAATCTTCAGTAGGGACGCATAGCCATCAATGTCGTTACCCCCGAGGGATGCATAATATTTTGCTTCTTGGCTAGTCTAAAAAAAAGGGTTACAGTTTCGCCGCAAGGGCGAGGCAATGAATGCAATGAGCAACAGCTTAGAATGCAACGCTCAGAATGGCAAGCAGATCGAAACGTACAAATGACACACAAAAACAACACAAACAATATGAGAGCCAACTAATAACGTTTACAGCTATATAATTAACGCGCTGTTTAAACAAAACAAAAATGACGGCCGAACCGTAATCACAGGCACATATATGAGTATTAGCTAGCAAATGTCCAAGTCGCTACTTCACGGTGTCTAAAAAGCGCACTCTTTTCACAAACGGGGCATATCAAGCCAGAGAAGTCATTTTTGTGCACCCGGGAACTAAACGCAATTGTTTTGGTCGTTACCACATTAAAATAATTGCGCTGAAAAGGCCCATTCCTCCGCGGAGCAAAGCACGCGGGCTAGTTGAGTGCGCATCGGCGCATCGCGACGAGCTATAGGCCCTGACCCTTGCGCCGAGCACCCTCATCACGCCCCCTCACCCGTAATGCTCAAAACACGCTATTTTTCCCATAATATATATAAATACCATGGCGTTTCAACGTTCCAGGAGATGCTCCTTTGCGGCTCACGCCACGTGTTCATGAATGCAAGATCAGACGTTTCATTCTACGTGCCGGACTCTTTTCTGGATTATTTATTACACGTGTTTTCATATATACAGATACGTATATCATATATACAGGTATGGTGAGTGACGGCGACGCTGGCGGCAAACTCCAGCTGATTGTGACCATATAATAGCTATTGCAATAAAATAACATGTGGTCTATGTATGAATTAAAAGAATTACTGCAATGACGAGCTAAAATAGTGCCCTACATCATTTATTCATGTGCACAAAAGCAGCCAGCAAGTGGCAGATCATAGCACATAGTAGAACAGTAGACTCCAAACAAATTAATAAACAACATACCATAGTCAGGTGTATACTTTAGTAAAATTAATCTCGACTTGTCAAAAAACATACTAGGTATTATTAGGAGTGCGAACAGAATCACATGCCACGATACTCGATGCACGCCACTGTTTCATAGAAATCAGAAGGTTCCTGTTTCGAGCGCAAATATGTACACGAAAAGCAGCAAAAAACAATAGAGGGAAATACGTGAAGGGGATACTAGTACCGAGGAAACTATTTCAAAAGAAAAAAGTGTCTGAGGCATATAAACGTGGGCGAATGAGCAACTTGCCATGTTCAGAACTCACCTCGCTGTTACCCAATTGCGAATTTGATTCACGATTCAATGGATTGCTTCTGCGACATTGCACAAACCATAAAATCCAACTTCAAGCATGAAAGCTCATAGAATGAAAAAAATTAAGAGATCTTCCCGTTACTGGTACCAAGCCTGATTTATTGATTGGTTGAAAATATTTATTTGAAAACAACAGAGGGGTGAAATGCATGAGAGGTTCCGCATACGGTGCAGTCCTCGTTTCGGGACCTCCTTGGTATCAGCCACTACCTTAGGTTTTCGGGCTTCTGCTCTGTAGAGCAGAAGCCCGAAAAAACGCATATTCATCAAACACCGTATTTTAAGTAGAAAGCTGGCTTTTTTTTCCCTTCCAGTGATAATGTTTGAATGTGCACAAAGAACAACTTACCTCGCTTATTTCAATGCCACGCAATATCAGCTGTACTCTGACGGTTGTAACTGTGCGGTATCGCAGGTTAACCTGCAATACAGATAACAAATACTGTTATGCTACTTACCAATTCCTAGGTATTGTGGTAGCTGAATTTCCACCCCTTCTTACTGCATATAGGTTATACAACGCTAGGCTTTACCATATTTCCACATTGTTTTCCTCCTTTTTCTTGCATTACTGCTCCTCACTTTGGCTTCTATATTACACCCCTTCTTGCTATACTATACAACACATGACTATAAGGAGCTATTCGATCTTACGACTTGCGAAACACCCCATAGGCTCCATGTATCAAAATCCTAACACAAAATTGGCTAAAATAGCGGGAGTAAGTAGATAGTAGCGCCATCTTTTGTCAATAAAGCTAACTAGAAAACACTATACTTTGTGTTTTTGCGTTTAGCAAGATTGTGAGCGCCGCCGCATTCTGCCAAACAGCATCGCAGCGCCTAGAATTTGTTCTTAGGTGAGTTAGTGCCTAAGGATGCGGACCATGTCACTTTGTCGCAGTGGTGGAGACGTGATGAGAACAGAGGAGCTGCTACGTCTCTTGTTGTTGTGTCCTTTTTCATGTTTCCCGCATTGCGCTAGAAGTAACGGATGTTCAGGTGGTACACAGCTAGCACAGCGTAACGGACGGTGCAGCGAGGTCGGTAGCCTATGCAGATTCATCTGGCGAGCCCACGATGTTTACATTTCGGCAAAATAGTGAGCGGCAAGGCGTGATGCAAGTGGGATGCAGCGTTGATCCGGGTGGATCCAACGTGTGAGTCTGTCGACGGCAGCAGACGACGTTGCCGGAGCAGCAAATGCCGGTGCCGTTGGAAAGGCTTCACGAACATATCACCTGAAGAGAAAATAACGCTTGCAGTGCCTGTTGCAAGTAAATACCAATGTTGAAGTTTCCACTTTCTTGTCATCGGGCTTTCCCAGCCTGTGTCTCATTGATTTCACAATTAGTGGAATTCGACCGCTTCGTGCAAGACAAAGCGGCCAATTCGCGCTAAGTACTGATCGTTATTGTTGTGCTTTGGTTTTCACACTACCGTATCTGTGTCTTGTTTGTGCGGCCATCACTCCCGTCATGTTAGTGAGACACTTCGTGAACCGCAGAGTGGAACAATTAAAATGATTGGTCAAACTTCCCATGAGCAATTGATCTCAAGCGGACATTTTCGAACGAGCAAGCGAGGAGTAATAGAAATAATCAGGGCACAGTGTTAATACCATAGTAGCACGAAATTGCAAGCACCACCTTCGACGAAATAAACCTTGACTCCTTGACCCGGCTTTGATAACGTCTTTGCTGAGCGAAAACAGCTGGCAGCGGCGGCGGACACATACGTAGTTTCGTATTAATTGTGTGTGTATGGTAACAACTTGCATGTGCGTAGTAAAACACCTTTTCTGTTCCATTTTGTATGCTCTTCTCCTGCATTGCATGAAATCTCAACGTCCAGCTTCCCGTGAGCAATCGATCCCAAGCGCACATTTTCAAACGAGCAAGCGAGGATCAAGCGAGCAAGCTAAGGCCATTTGTTGAGGGGACCACGCCAGTGTTGCATGCGGCGTTGAGCTGCCTAAAAAAAGTGCACACCCAAGTGGCAATGCAGTATTCTGCAGGCTCCTATATGGCGCGACGATCGGCTCACTCCCGCTTTGTCGGCCAATGGCGTGTCCGGGTTTCGGAACGCAGTTTCGCAACTCATATAATTGAATAACTCTGATGACTACACTATGATTCACCATATAAGGGGAGCACAACACCCTGGAAGAACTACCGTAGGTGCACCTGATGATGCAGCACACAAGGCTTTCGACAACCAAATCGGAAAGAAATAACGATAGAACTCTAGAAGGAGGTCTCCAATAGCCAGTTGACAAATATCATAGCCGGCAGCTAAGCTTTTGGATGCCCCGCCGCGATGGTCTAGTGGCTAAGTACTCGGCTGCTGATCCGCAGGTAGCGGGGTCGAATCCCGGCTGCGGCGGCTTCATTTTCGATGAAGGCGGAAATGCTGTAGGCATGTGTGCTCAGATTTGGGTGCACGTTAGAGAACCCCAGGTGGTCTAATTCCTGGAGCCCTCCAATACGACGTCTCTCATAATCATATCGTGGTTTTGGGACGTTAAACCTCACAAATCTATCTATACATCTAGGTAAGATTTGAGTTAGTAACGTAGATACTATAAAATTAGGCATGATCCTTGCTGTCTTCTAAAGCTTCCTACTGTGCACCTTGATACAGAGAGAAATGCTTCTTTTGTTAAACCCAGAAAATTCACTTACATGGTGTTCACGCGCTTTAAAGCGGCACGATCATTCAACAATTGAAAATGTTTACGCTTTATACAGGAATTTAATTCATCAACAAAAGCAATCACCCCCCATGAAGCCCGAAAAAGCTACAATACATAATTCAAGATACTTAAACAGGTAAATGCTGCACCGCTACTCTAAAACAACGCGCATAGGGCAAGTTAGCCTAGTTGCACAAGGTTAATCGTCGCCGCCTGAGAAATCTGAGAATCAACAAAATGGAGTAGAAAAAACACAGCAATGAAATAAAATGAGAAAGTAAATTGAAATAAATAGGAAAGTAGTAGTAATAAAATGGGAAGTAAAATGGGCCTTAACGGTTCTGACACTTGCGTTGTCTACACTGCCACGATACCTTTTTCCTCGAACACTGTTGAGTCATGTACAGCAGGACGGTCGAAATGTCGTGATGGTTCGAGCGTATGGCCGCTACGCGATGCACCAATCGAGTACATGCGAAGACGTTCCTGCTGGGCAGATAAACTGTTCCTCGTTAGCGCATTTGTTTGTGGTTGGTGCAGATTAAATGCTTCGGCAGGACCAGCAATAAAGCAGAAAAAAATAGGACAACTGCATTGATTTAGTGTCTCTTTGCAGTAGTTCTGCGTGTTTGTTAGTTTCGTGCAAAAATTAGAATGTGAATCCAGCGTGACCTTTACAGAATTGAGATGTGATGCGCAAGCAGCACGTGTGCTCACATGCTGCGCAATAGTAGGCGCGTTGGTGATCTTCTGTAAACTTAAACACAGGTGAAATAAAGAAGCTTTCACTATTAGCAGAAACAGCACCACGTGTCTTATAGAGCTCTGGGCTAGCAATTTTTCAACACAACTTCACCACATTCACATGCCTATTCCCTTTCTCCCTCTCTGTTAATGTCATTCACTGAAAATTCATTACATTGTACCTACGCTACCTCACTATAGATATACCTTGAGCGGTGCTACAGTTCATGCAGCAACAGTGCGTGATAAACACGATTCTAGAGCCATTGTTCCAGTGTGACCAGCATGCCGGACGGCACTGAAACCAGGTTTGCCGTTGGCGCTATGACGACATGGCTGGGGCCATATCCAAGCTCGATGTCACGACCCAGCTGGTGCACCCCAATCTTCCATACACAACTCTGACAGCTTCTATACAACGCCATGCGATGTTGTACTACTTCTATCTTTCTTTCTCTTTTTGTCACGCACAGAGAACTCTCTCACCTCATTTCTCTTTGCGACCTTTTTACTACACCCTTTCTATATCTTCCTCCTCTCGCGGCATCACTTCCTTTTGTTCTTTCTTGCTATACAATACTATATATGGCCATGTTCTTTACACTTTTATCCCCTCCTTGATGTCTCTGAATATGCTCTCTCTATATATTATATACTAGACAAAGAAAAACTCTGTTTTACCCTCTCATTTCACCTCGCACCTCGTAATCGTCAGACCCTCTAAACTTCGCCCTGAATTCTTTTTCCCTCAGTTTGTCACGCTACAATATCTATAGCTATGGTAAGATTTCCCATTTAACCTCCTTTTCTCATTCCTTCGCACCTTCACTTCCCCTTTCCGCGCTATTGCTAGACTACGCTGGGATTATTTCTTGCTAAACTACGCTGAGATTTTTCATAACTGCTTGCCATGGCACATGACTAAGCAGGGCTCCCGCACTCTCAACGAGGCTCCACCATTTTTAACCAGTTATTAACGAACTAAAGCAGACTTTGGCAAAACGCAGACAGCTGTGCTATTTAAGTGACAATGCGGAATGAAATCCACTTACTACTTGATGAGAAATCATTAGGTATTTAATCATTTTCCAGTAGCTTTCAAATCCACTAAAGAAGGCCGAGTCACAAATATAAAATATTTCGGGATGAATCATGCTCACGCCGAATGCATCTGGAAAGTGGCCACAGAGAACATTTGATGTTTCGGATAATACATGTACTACTGATAACACATTATTATAGACTTACTTGAGTCAAAACCAGTCTTTGTACTCCAAGAGCGCTCTTCAACGTTCTGTGTTTTTGGTATCCCTTTAGGAGAAAACAATATTCAATGCATGACTAATTACTGACTATATTTTTGCAACAACAAATGCTTCACACTTCTCTCAACTCCTATCGCATCTTAATTCTAAATTCTCTAAGTAAATGTGAACGAAAGGTCATATAACGTCAAAATTCTTACAAAACAAAGCGTAGGTGGGGAAGGGGAGCTAGTAATTGCACCTAAATCCAAACGTAATAAATCTCAGAAAAGTACATCAACAGTATGTATGGCAGTTAGTACTGCACTCATACGTCCCTGCAGTGTAATCTCCGTCAATCATTTATTTTTAACCCTACGACCAAGTTTTTTGGAAAGGCACTGAAGCCCCAAAAAATTATCTATGCATATACATGAAGTGAATGCTGTTGATGAGAAGAAAAACATGCCTCAAATTGCGACTAGCAGATTTTGATTATGGGCTAGTTGGCAGCCCTTCATTTTGTTCTTGTTAACAATTTCTTTTGTGATATCTTTTTATTGATAGGTGGTTGCGGCCTTTTATTTTGTTTGTTTGTGTATTCAGCGCTTTGATTGCGATATTTTTCAAGAAAAGAAGTAATATCCAGTAAGAAATTCTTTATTCATATGAAGAAGTTGAGTGTATTTGCAAATACTTTTGCAAAATACACTCAACGTCCAAAGCACGGAGATGTAAAAAAAGAAGCGCAGCCGCGGTATTTCTAGAACAGAGTAGTACTTCAGATGGCTTAAGCCATTTCAAATAATGGCCATATTTGTTATTAGCTTAAATACAGTATTTTGGCTAATAAATATCAGTGCAGAGACTTTCTGGTCGCACCTGGGAGGCATTGATATCCGCAAGTAGATGTCGTGTGCGAAAGATTATCAACGTAGCAGTATCGGCGTTTCATATTAAGTTATAAATCCTGTCTCTCTGATGCCTCACTGCACTTGAAAACTTGTGTTAAAACAACGAATAATAAAATATATATTGCATGAAATATAAAAAAAGTATATTTATTGAAGCTTTTACTGTTCGGCGCTAGCCTTAACATATCACACTTTGGTGATTCTGAAAACTATTCGGGTTGCGTCTAGGCCGTTTACCGATCCTTTTCCATTGGGTTTTTCCTTCCTTAGTGGTAGCTCTATTTTTTTTCTTTTTAGTGACTCAATGGTCAGTAGCAGGATTTGTCCAGGTTCTCTGGCATATACTTACTTCACGTAATCAATGTTTTCTGGTAGGCCACAAAAGCATTTGTAGAACATACACGTTTATTGGGCTGTTGTTTTCTCTCTTGTACTAGGACGCTGCTGAGTATTATGCTTTGGCCATTCTCTCTGGCACATATCTCAGAGGCCCACAAAATGTACGGCACAAATTACAGCTGCCTTAAATTTTCACACATTGAGACTACGCAGCCCTTATACATGAGCAGGAAGGTCTACCAAACTTCGCCGAGCTCCGGCGATAGGGCCTGAAGCTCTTACAAACAAAGTATTATCCCAATCTAGTCGTCCCTCATGAAATTTGCCCCGATAGTTGCACTGACAGCTCATACACCCGTTGTGGGGAAGTAGCTAACTTCAACCTTATGCTCTGCAAGTGCGCCTAGTCATTGGACACTGATCAAGCCAAGCTGGTCACGTGGTGCACCGCCATCAGAAGCCTCAACAAGCGGATTAGCCTTAGGCCGTCTAAAGAACTCACGATGTGGCGGTAAGGCTTATCCTATCCGTCTCAAAAAGGATGAAGTCCACTGCGTGCTGGTCACGTCTCTCAGGACCACAAATAAAGTTCCATCATCAATTCACTCAATAGGAGAGGCCAAAAAACAATGGTAGAAATACTTACCATAAACGTTGTCAGAGTCGTTATCTTCAATATTTTCTACAAGATGAGCTTGTCGGCCATGGTCCATTCGCTCCCCGACCTCTATGGGTCTAATCATGAGTGTTGGACTAACGACGCCTTCCTGGGAAACCCGTTTTCATTAGCGAGGTTTACATTATAGACTTATCATTAAGACACATAATTATCCTAACAGTCACAATATATGTCCCAAAATATTGGAGATCCTTTGAAAGATGAACGCGAAAGCGAGATCTTGTGTCTATATAGTTCGCACATGAAACACTTAGCGAAGACTTTTTCATTGTATGACGTTACTCAAAAGCTTTCAATTGTGAATTATTACAAGGTAATATATAAATTTGTAAGTGGCTTGTATCAGTGAAGCGTTCTTATATGGTGGAATTCTGTGTAATGGGTAGCATGCTCTAAACCACGGGCAGATATGCGTGGAAAATGTTATTCGGCTTGTTGTGAATCCACTACGTGGTCCTTAGAGAATACACGAAATAACGATCCATTTCTAATGAGTGGCCAATCAGACCAAGCTCCAGCAATCTTCGCGTGGTAGCCTTGTTACTCTTTTAAGGAGAACATAACTTCGGCAGAACGTGAAGTGATGCAGCGATAAGTGAACGAAGCATGATTGGTGCAGCAGCAAACGACATGACAAGGAGACTCGTCATGGTTCCGCCAGGTATCATTTTCAAAATCTTGGCTACTGTACATTTCATGATAACGTTTTCTCAGCACTTACACTAGCATGCTGTTCGGTGACGTGTTCATGCTCTCTGATGTATATAACATGTCGATCATTATGGTTTATTTTCAAGGACGTAAACTGCAGCCAGGCGATTTTAATATGTAACCTCACTCCGTCAAACAAAATAAACGCCCCGCCAGTGCGGAACACGCGTATACGGATGTTTTTATAATCCCGTCATATACTCGATGGAGGTAACTACAACAACTACAGAGTCTATGTACACACTAAATCTTATATTCTCATAAACTTGCGAAGTATTGAAGTATACCGAATGTCATTATATGGAAGAGTCTACGGAAAAGCTAGCTCGACGCCAATATTTTGTTGAGCACTACGTGCACAATATTGACGTGGCTGATGACGATCAAATAAAGCCGAGCTATTTGTAAAAGGACAAAGCTTTATCCCTCTCTCCCCAATTTACGTGATGACCGTTATGAGTCGCCTGGTCGTTCATATACTCTTTTGCTACAGTATTCACCCCCAGATTATTGAGTGGCGCTCTCTCACGTCTGACGTCAGAAGGAGGGCGGCATTGGCGATCTCATTGCGTGCGCTTGCAACGTGAATGCTGCTTGAGCCTGCCGGTTTTTTAGTGCTGCTCGCGTTATTGAAACATGAGTCTTATAATCAATGAAAAAAATATTTCACACTAGATGTTCCGCGATACCGAACAGAGGTGCGGTATTTCTGTGTACATTTGCATGTGCGGCATCGATTCCTTTCTCAGACGCAGCTTTGCCTGTAGTGTACAGTCAAGATGACTTGCTGCTTGGTTTTCAACAGCTGGCTTCAGTGATCCGGCTTCCTCTTCCAGGTTAGTGTTACCGCGGATGGTGTAATGCCCTGTTCTGCGCCTGGTCGGCTGCCAAGCGTGCTCCATGGTTCCCCGAAATTTCAGTTTCATGTGCTTACGAAAAGGAACGTATGTTTCAATTCGAATACTTTACGAGTAGTTTACATTTACAAGTCACAACTTTCATTAAAGTCAGGCTTCAGCAGCTGATGTATACGCACGTTGTAAGTATTTAAAATTTAGCCATAATAAAAAGTTTGGTATAACAACGAAGATAACATGAACCTATAACGAATATAATATGATAGAATGTTGTAATGAGATTGTCTATGCAACTTATTTTGAAAACTACGGTAATAACTTGGCGTTATATGACCCGTGCCATGCAGGCTGTTTAAGTATACGGTAAAGAAAATTGTCGCAATGGCACTAATGTCCATCATTACAAATGTTTCTTAGCATAGACCACGATAAGACATTTTTCCGTTAAAATCTACATCACTCGCCTTGACCGACGCATGACAACATGCAGTCAAATATTTCTACGAAATATTATTCAATCTTTTACAGGCACGCAAGAAAAAAAACTATAATCGACTGAGGCGACAAGAAGAAGGTACGATGGAGGGATAATCTTTTCCTGGACCTTTTCATCCTTTTCCCATGCTGCGCTATTCGTCATTCTTGTCAAACGGAACACGAACATAGCACCGCTACCTCCAACCGCTAGAAACTCTATAGCGCATGTTGTCATCTCATCACCACTGATAGTCACGAACATCCGGTGAGGGAGCCCTACTCGACCGAAACAACACAATTGTCCCATTCGACAGGCAACCAAAGGCAACTCATCTATTTCTAGTAACGGGAGTGCAAACTCAACCACGCCTCCCATCTACTGGTCTTTCATTTAGATCTCATGATGTAACGAATCAGTTTTAATATTCAATGCAATTCAATCCGGTCTATGCAGTTTTCTTAAATAGCTCGCTTGTCGCGGACGTTATATACATGCTTTGTCGACGAGTGTTTTCAGCACACTCGTTAACACGACAGTAGTTACCGGATGCTGAGCTTTTGTTCGACTGCGGTGCTGCTTTGACAAAACTAACTTTTATGAATGCACCTCTATGGTGGTCACGCTGCATTACCGAAAGGGCATTTGCTCTCGTTAACGTGACTGGCGAGATGTTCGAGCTTCTAAGAAAGGTAATACAACGTCATTATTTCCAGTTAGTTTAGCTGCAACTTTGAGGGCGTGATCTTGACCGCATTGACTGGGTTACACATAGAAGCTGCACTAACTTTTAACGTTTTTAAACTCCTGCACCACTGTCAACTAACTAGAAAAGAACGCAGCTGTATTAGTCATGGTACAGCCGGCAAGCAAAGTCACACCTGTCTTCTTGTGTCACCAGTACTCCGCTTGACGCTCCGCTATCGGGGAGACGTGAGGCGAATATCATATGTTACCGCAATAGCTGGTCCAACATAACTCCTGCATATGGTATCTTTGCGAGCAAGCTATAAGCACCGGCAGAACTATGTGGCAGAATACCGATTGCAAATTTCAATCGATCTTTGCTACTTGGTTCTTATCGTGCGCGACAGTGGTTAAAGACACCTCAGGTGGACAAATATATCACCAAACCTGCTGTTGTGATCGCGTACTCGTCTGCGTGGTAAACTTAATCTAGAGGTTTTTACTTAATCATCATTTGTTGTTAGCGTTGATAAAGTGCTTGTTTCTCAATGCCAGAAAGTCCCTTGGTTAAGTTCTCGTCTGGCAGGAAAAAGACATATACCTTCAATAATAAAAAAGAACCTATATTATTAGACTCCGCTTTCACACATACCACTTGTAGCCTGCCATCTTTTTCTGACACCGTTACCGCTGCCAGGCGTGCTGGGTCATGATACAAATCCTTCTGTAAGTCCTCGACGTTGAACTGAAAGAAAGAGAGCCAAGAGTGACTTCAAGACAGGCACCCAAAATGTGCCGTTATTTAAAATCAGAGTATATCTCCAGATTCACACTTCGCGTTTAACACTGCTTGCATAACTGTACACCAGATAATTGTCCCAACCCCACATGCAGAAATTTTTGTCACAATATATGGGTTTATCTGAAAAGTGTCTTCAAATAAATATACTAATGAGTTTATAATTATATTGAGTAATAAAGCATGACAAGTGATGTCAAAGCCATGGTAATAGATATTTATATCTACATATTTTAAAGGCCTAAGCTATTGTACGCACTTTTTCTGTCGTTTGTTTGTATGTAGGACCAACACTTGTTGCCGCGGTGGTTGCACAGCGGTACGTTAAAAAACCCCAGGTGGTCAAAATTTCCGGAGCCCTCCACTGCACCGTCTCTCATAATTATATAGTGGTTTTGAGACGTTAAATCCCCCATATAAATCAATCAATCACAGCAGTAGGTTGTGCTCAATAAATGCTCATATAAGGGTGCAAATAGTATCACCACGTAAAAAGCCTCACAATTGGCGTCAAAGTACATAGCTGCTCATTAGGCGCTGCCCGAAAATTTAACAAACAACGCAAATAACCCATTTGAGCCGTCGTTCTCAACCCTTTTCAAGCGCCCTTCTTTACACACTCGCAACAAATTCAATGGTGACACCCTCAGAACCACACTCTCTTATCCCTTCAGCTTCTTTTTCTAAATTGCGGCGATTACCCTAGGTGTTCAGTATGGGAACTACATTAGGAAACGATTTCCCACATCCTTTACGGCAAACCGGCTTATCCTACCCTGCAGTGAGAGCCTGGGATCTCAAGTTGAGAGGACTGGGATGTACTGTTCTTGTTGATGTACCGACACTGGAGCTTGCTGTGGTAACCCAGACTGCCAGCTTCGTCAGCTGCGTGCGCAGAATCGACATGTGGATGTGGCGTAGGCCCTCGCGGTAAACTAGGGACCCGCAGAATCCATCCACTCCCACTAGCCAATAAATATTTTTCACTCCAGAATGAATACTTTTAGCCTTCGTCTCCTGTTAACCTTTACGTCACTACTTTACATCGCCCCTTGTATGTACTACCATACATTTTATTCTGGGGTTTTTCTATGCCCTCTCACTTTCTCACACTCTTTCTTCTTTCTCTTCACCTTACCCAGAAAACAGTGGTCCTCACCTCCACGCCTTGCATTACCCTCTTACTTTCCCTTTTGGTTCTCTTTAAAACACCATCATGGCTCTTCATTCTCTTTTTAGACTCACATCACCCCGCTTCCTTCTTTCCACCCCCTTGCTATCGTATTATGCATGGCTACGATACGCAAGGAGCCGCTTCACGGACAACTATAGTAGAGAAGGCAACGTTATGTTTTCCTCCATCTCCTCCTTTCGTTCGTACTAAATCTTATGTAACTTCTCCTCCCTCTTATTTCACTCTCTCATTGTCCTGCGTTGCTCCTTATGGGTACGCTACGCTATTCGCAACTTCCAGGTACCATGGCGCCGCTGAGCGGCGGTGGCCGGAAGCTCAGTTGAGATGATTGAAGTTTTGAACCTGTATCATACAGCAGACGCTGCTGCTTGTTTTCACACGTTTGTGGTCGTTTTTGAACGTTGTGAATGGTCTCGATATTACTGCAACCCTTTGAGTTTACCAAGTTTAAAGGAAAGTAGAAACAAAGAGAAAAAAACCGAATGATTTCACTGCGAACCTCGATGCTCTGGGCGAAAACTTAAGCGTCCTGTTCAAATTAGTGCCCCAAAAGCAAGCAAAGGTTAAGAGGGTTAAATTTAAGCAGGCAAATTACAAAGGCCCGTGAATGCATCCGGCACCTATATTCTGCAGGTATACAGCAACTTCCAGGTTTGCAGTTCTCGCGCCTAGTTTGTCTGCTCCTTACGATACAGTTTTGGGCATGTTTATCTTCCTAACATGGTACCCGGAATTTATTTTTTTAATAAAGTATGTTAGCGCTCTCCTACTTTCTAAAAACCATTAATACAAAGGCCAGCAAAACAGAAGAATTTCAGTCTTCGCCAAATGTGTACTTTCAAGTATTGTTTTTTGCGGGGCCATCATCTGAACGACAGCCATGTTGGATGTATAGTCGCGCCACCAATAAGTCGTGAATGTAGCGAATAAGCTGCTTGACACATGTCTACTTTCTCTGGCTCATACCCATCACTAGTTTCTGAATTTCACGTCTAAATTACCTGAAGTTCAAACAGAACTGCAGTTGAAACCACGCAACATATTCACTATACACCAATAGATCAATGTTATGTCAACGTCATCGGGAAACTGCTGCGCAAATGAACAGTAAGAAGTCATCTTCTATTTCGCTTAAGACACGCTGCCCGGCTGTTGCCTGGAAGCGTTTCTTTCGTTCGGCATTCAGATCAGCAGTCTAGTACTTGTGCGGCAATTGGACACCGAGAATTTTCACGGTTTTGAAGTAATCTTGGACAGACAGGCGGTTCCAAATCACAGTGCAATTCTGGGACCACTGTGGAATGAATAATGACGAAAAATGAGCTGTATTGTTAATATTTACCGTTTATTTTCAATGGTTAGCGTAGTAGAGATCATTTTGTAATGAGGTGTCTTCATGTACCATTTTGTGCCACGTGGCGTGCATGAACTCTTTGTACTGCCCAGAAGATGTCGCCGAATGATAGAGGGCCAGTAATGATTACCGAATACAGAATAGTTTTACGTTACTCTGCCGCTGTTCTCAACCGATTGCCGCCTTTTACGCAGGCACTGTACAAAGCTTTTCTCCGAGCCTCCTCTTACTGCAAACTGCAAAGTGACGCAAGAATAGCAACAATCAGTCACATTGTGTTTCAACGGCAGCCCCTCAAATGTTTTCAAGTTCCCTCTCCCTAGGGTCAATTACACGGATGCATTTGTGTGAATTGGGTGTGTGCGTGTGGGCACACAGGGAAAAATGTTCAAAAGGCTTGAACACACACATGTGACACAAGTTTACGCATTATTTGGTAAACAACCGCATAAAACTCGCCAATTTTTCTTGTATTACATCCCGTATTGCCATTAACGAATTATAACAAGCGAGTTTGCAAGGTGCATTCATGGGCAAGTAATGTTAATTAGGCTGCTCTTGCGAGATATCTTTGTTTAGGATGTACGCCCATTTCCTAGCGTAAAATATGAGGGCAGCAGCAACTTTGCTAGTTTGTGCGCAAGCCTACGTGCAGATGTGTAAGATGTTCACATGTAGTGATCAACCTTTAGTTGACAAATGTTCGAAGGGCGTGACCATTCATCAGGAAAATTCATGCAGCTCTACATGAAGAAAATCTTAAGAGCATTCATAACAGTCAAGTACTCCGGACAGAATCCTACAACTTTTCAGGGGTGAAGCTCCTCAGGCCGTGGGTAGTTCTTTCCTCTGTAGCAGTAGAATTAGTAGTAGTAGTAGTAGTAGTAGTAGTAGTAGTAGTAGTAGTATTAGTAGTAGTATGTAGCCACCTCTAGTTTATGAGTTGCTCTATATAGATGGCGCTGTGTTGTGTTTATATGTCCTTGGGAGTAATATATCTAGATGGCGTTAGTGGTTTTCGAATACTTGAAATTTTTTTATAGTGGACGAAAGGACTGACGAACGGACAGACAGGCAGACAAACAAACATACGGATAGACGGACGTACGGAATCACGTTCGAACAGGAAGATGGACGGACGGACAGACGGACAGAAGCATGGACGCACGAACGAACAGGAAGATGGAAGAACGGGTGGACAGACGGATCTATGGAGGCACGGATGGACAGACACTAGACGATTGGACGTACGGCAGACGCATGAACGGACAGAAGCACGAACGTATGAACGGAAGTATGGACGAAAGCAGGGAAGCGCAGAAAGGCGCACAGGCGAACGGAAGTATGGACCGACAGGGAGAGGGATGTATGGACCGACAAATAGACAGAAGCACGGACGCACGAACGGACAGGCGTAAACATAGACGGATGGATGGAGAGAAGCGCGGATGCATGGACAGATGACGGAAACATGGACATACGGACCCACGTACGGACGGAAGCACGGACGGCCGTATGGATGGACAGATGGACGGGCGGAAGCATGGATGGACAGACAGACTGACGCGTGGATGGACTCACACACGGAAGCACGGACGAGCGAGCGGATAGACACACGTACGGATGGACACATGGAGGGATGGACGCTTGGCCCCACTCATCATTATTCACTTCGTCTATATGCTGTGATTTTTTTTTATTTTTCTGTGTCATGATTAAGAAAAGGTGCAAGCTGAGTACACGAAAACGCGTATTATGATTATGTATGACACAATAGTGGTATTACTCTTCCGATGTTATGTATTGTAGCATATACGTTGCGAAAATAAGTTTCAGCAGGGGCTCACAGGTTCTCGATATTGTTTCCTTATGACCTGCTATTACTTTCGCCCTTTATTCTTTAGAATTCTCCCCCCTTATCTATCTTTTTGCTATCTCATGCCTCTATCTATACGATACAACAGTGTTCGTGCTTACATATTTATGCACGGCCACACCCTGACGATAGGTACGCAGGAAGAAATTTTCATGAAGAATTGAGCTTGGCTCCAGGTTCAGGGTGATCTCGTCGTTGATCTTGAGAACTCTTGTGCGTTCATCTCGGCCATCAAAAATCTCGGGATACACAACAGCCCGGTATTCCGGCACTGAAAAGACGTCAAATGAGCACATTTTCACTAAGATAGCCCGAATTGGAATAAGGCACCGAACATCAATTTTAATGTCCTCACAAGCAAGTTGCTGAAAATATGGTACGTACATTCTACCAAACAAGCATTTTTAATAAATTTTTAAGGAGATTGCAGACACGTGCGAGTGCAGTACAAGTTAAATGCAAACTTACAGCGTGACTGTATATTATATTGGCGTTATCGTGAGAGATTCAAGAACAAGATGTTACCCAGTCACTAATGTCTAAGCAATAAGATCTTAATTATTAGCGAAAAACTCCAAGAAAGCACTCGGGAATGCTTCATATGCGATAGAACTTCGCTATGGCGTTAAATATTAGAAGTAAAGAAACCGAGATATAACACACCAAAACAAATTTCCAGTACTCACAACATACAAAAACGAAAAAGGGCTGCAATACTGCAGGCTTGACAGGAACTGAATCCGGCACAATATGTACAGTAGGTCAGTGGTGCATACATTATGCTAGGAATGCTTTTTATCTATAGTAAAGGTTATGCATAGATTGGTGAATGAAATTATCAAACTACCATCAGGAGGAGGAGGAGGAGGAAGAAAGTTTAAGCGGAAAGACAGGGAGGTTAGCCAGTTCTTAGACCAGTTCTACCATCAGGAATTTCTCATGAGCAAGTATGCTTGTTCAGACCTGTGGCGACCTTTTTTTTTATGTTTACACAGGCTCAAGTGCTCCTGTGCTTTTCGGTAGGCAACCCTGTACACGCTGCTTTGGTGATCAATAATTTGATCAATATTTAGAATACTTGAAGCGGGCTCGTCGGTACAGATGCCTTAATATACACAGTGCCTAAGGTACACAAATTACACGAGACAAGAACGAGGTTCAGCGCACGTCTTCGTTCATGTCTTATGTGTTTTGGGTAACTTACTTGCGTATTCTGAAGTTCTACAATGTAAAATATTCACTTTTATATTTACGCATTACATTATGCTACACAAGTGATTTGCCCCATCTTCTCGCTATTCAGAGATCGTACAATAACAGTGCCAAAAACTAGAGACGAACACATATAAAATGCGTGGTGACTACCAACTGGTTTATGATAGTTCACACATGCACATACACCCAAAAAGAATTGATGCTCAACGTGTGACTATCTGTTTCTTGTATTTTTACAAGTTTGGATATAGTCACTATTAGTTTGGAAATCGTCACTGATAAAGTAGTTGAAGGCAGCGCTAGCTTGCCTGCGTGTGTGCATTCATCGCATTTTACAGTATTACTCAGAATCATGAACAACCAACAAAGCCCAAATCACCACTATTGTGCTGTTTGGAGGATTTGTTATCAGAAACTCGGTACGAATTGATTTTGGCAGCAGCTATGTTGCGCCACGTTTTTCTTCAGAAAGTGTGCCGCATAAAGCGTCGCCTTACTCTCGGAGACCCAAGTATTCACATAAGAAGCTGGAATATAACTCTTTTAGCCCTTACTTTTTTGACAAGTACATAATTTTTTCTTTTTATTTGGCTTGACTAACACCTCTAGAGAAAAAAAGATATTGTATTATTAGCACTCAATCCATATATAAGAAAATTGGCGCAATGTCCTGTAATACGACACCAGGGCCTTGTAGTTTTGAAGTAAAATGTGGTAGATTTTAATCCTTCAAACTCTGTGGCCTTTTACCACGTATAATTGTTGCGTAGCTGAGTATGTAGCAACGAAGTATTCGTTAGAGCGTCTCGAATGTAAAAAAATGCAGAATTTTGCGTTCATAATACGCAACTCCATATCCACATGAAAGGCCGTTGAATTCTGGAGCACATTGAAAGATGTACCATCATATTGATTACTGAATTCGGCTTTGGTGCGTAAAAATATTTTCTGTACAAGTCTGCAAGGACAAGCGGACCAAGCTTTACTTAATTGTCATCTAATAGCTCGCGCACGGTACTTTCATGTGGTGCTGAAAACGTATTCAGACCTATTACGTAAAATGCCGCTGTTAGAACGCCTTTATATATTAACCTAAATATTGCAAGTGGGTTCGCTAGTGGGTTAAAAGTAGATCGAAAGCTTACACGAGCAGTAGGGTTCTGTATCAAGATGCCAAGAATTCAGAGCTCTGGTAACTACTGAAACCTGGCGCCCTATATTTAGGACTGCGGGTGATGTGAAAATGTTAAGGAAGACTGACTTTGCAAATAAGCAGCACAACTTGTTAGAAACAGCAGAAAAAATATTATGTACCACCCCGTAAAGATACGTTAGCGCTTGATATAATAGTTAATCACTGAAATATTGTCAAATCAACAGTTTCAGCTGTTGTCATCTTTTTCACCTACCGCCATTTTGCCTTCCGCTTTGCGGAATTTTTAGAAAGACGACAATGAAAAACAAAATGTGTTTACCGATGCGTTTTCACTATACCTTGGACACTTATTTGTCATCATTTTCATCATCATTGGCCTAATTACATCCACTGTGAGGCAAAGAGCTCTCCCATTATTTGCCAATCAACCTGGTCTTGTGCTTTCTGCTGCCATGTTAAACCTGCGAACTTTTTATTCTCATCAGGTCACCTAACTTTGTCTTCCTTTCATGTGTTTTCCTTCTCTGGGAATCTATTCCGTTACCTTCGATGACCAGTGGTTATCCTGCCTGCGTGCTACGTGCTATGTTTCCGGCCCATGTTAATTTTTTTTCTTGATTTGAACTATGATATTCTTACCCTTACTTTGCCACTTAACCCACTCTGCTCTCTTTTTTTATTTTTCAAGGTTACACCTATCATTTTTTTTTCCATCGCTCGCTGCACCACCCTCAATTCAAGCTATACCTTCTTCGTAAGTCTTTAGGCTTCTGCACCGTAGGTAAGTACCGGGAAGGTTCAGCTGTTCTATACAATTATTTTGAAGGTTAGTGGCAGATTAACATTGATGAATTGAGATTGCTTGCCTATTGTGATCACTTTAACTTTATTCTTCTAGTTATTTCACTCTCATGGATTAGCTCCGTGCTTACGACCTGTTATAAGTAGGCATATTCCTTTACAACTTCCAAGATGTCTCCACCTATCGCAAAACACTGTTTCTTTGGCGATATCTCTTATTTAGGTCAGAATTTTTAGTGCTACTTGTTGATGTCGTTTTAATCGGAGACCAGCGCTGGATAGGCGGCGCTTCAAGAAAAGACACCTGGTGGTGATCTGCGACATAACTCAGCTGCATGTGCCCAGATTACCAGCAGCAGTGTACTGCGGTGAGAGCATGCGCATACGAAGATATCAAGGTTGATTTCATCACGAACAGCTGTAGCGGGCACTGCCCCAAGTCATATTGCACTGTGGGTAAAAAAAAAACTTCGTAAGAAGGCTACTGTCACCAGGAAGCGTTGTAGCTTTGTTACTCTGCCACTAGAAGCTTTGTAAGAAAAGTTTAGAAAACGGAGAGAACCTCTTCAAAGGGAATCGCAGCGCCTATATGTGCTCTAGGAATCGAAGAGACAGTGGTGTGCCGTGATAGCAATTCTGTCATAAACAATTTTTGGCTGCTTGCAGAGATTTGTGTCAAGCTAATGCAAGCTGAAAATAATCCACTCTGTCGGTACCACGATGTCCACTTTCGCAGTATAAAATAGAGGCAAAGGGTAGCCGCGCAAGTTCTAAGGTCTGGTGTGGTATGTATATTCCTGAAGTACAGTATGTATGCACATGAGCATTTATCACGCAAACCACCATAGTTGCACAGCACGTATGCTAGCACGCTGCGGCGCTCGAAGGCGTGTTGTAGATTCGTGGCCACGGCGGATGCATTTGGATAGGGGCGAACTATAGAGCACCTTTGTATATCAATTTTTATGCACCTTATTTATAAACCCCAAGCGGTCAAAATTATTTCTGGGGTTCAACATATGGCGTGCCTGACAATAATGCCCTGTTTGGTGCCTAAAGCTCTGGCAATTATTAATGTTGGTCACACATCTTTCTTCTGAGGATACAAATAAGACGGGAAAAACTATAAAAAACAGGTTAGGCAAAAGAAACGACTACTAAAATTCAGGACATTTGAGTATGCTTTGTGATACATAAATTGCGATGTCACACTAGCATGGTAGCCAATGCACATAGAGGCTTTGCCACATCGGATGATTCCACAAAGCTAAGCTTTGAGCAGTCTGCTGCTTTGATCATAAATATAACCCTGTCTGTAGCACAAATTAAGTAAAAAAAGAGATTTCAGCATCGAGTATTCAGCGCGTGGTTTTCGTTTTGTTTTTTGCAACAGCAAATATTGGCCTATGTCAACGGGCAACCGCAAACATCGCTTAGACAAGGCCGCTTTTCTTCAACTAATATACTTGAAAGTTATGTATACCACATGCCTACATAACCTTCAACGTTGCGTGGTGATATTAGAATGAATTGGTTAGTCGGGGTCACATAAAAAAATATTGAGGCAAATGTCACATGATACACAAGCTGTCGTTTCTTTTTTTCCATCGAACAGCTTTTTGAATGTTGCAGTCTGGTTTGCAAGATGTTTCAGCGCGCGAACAAAGGAAAAAAGACAGGGTAGACAGAAAGAGCGCTGACTTCCAACTAACTTTATTTCATAGAGTGGCAGGAATATATACTGCTAAAAAGGATGATAACAGAGCATGAAGGTAAAATGCACGCCTAATCTACACATCAGTAACAAAACACGTGTGACAGGTCCTCTATTGCCTCAAAGCCCAGCTAGGTAATCACGTTCAGCCTGTGATAAAGCAATCGATGATGTGCTTACACATTTATCTCCTAGCAAGTGTATTTTTTCGGCTTCAATAATTTCTCGGGTAAGCTCGTCCCTGTGCCTTGCCAATATTGAGCACAGATCAAAGAGAGGGGTGCACCCACACTCTCGGCAATGAATGCCAAGATGCCCTTGTACCACATTGTGCACAATGTTTCGGTGTTCTCGGAGGCGGTCATTTATGCACCTGCCGGTTTGG